AGAAGACAAATGAATGTTTCACTGCATTCTCCATTAAACAATAAAGCGAGCTGTAAAGGCTCAGGTGCTGTGTTTGTTGTGCCGTCTGCGCAGTGCGGTGGCTCCCGGCCCGGGAGAGCTGAGTGCAGTGGGCCGGGGAGCGCCTCTTGGGCTGATCCCAGGGAAAGATAAGGAGCCGCCGAGCCACCAGCTCTGTCTAGACTCGCGACCTCACAAGTCAAGCGCCTTGTTTGGATTAGCCCTCCAGATCTGCCAACCTGATCAACTCCTGAAAGAGAAGGGCCCAGAAACACCCCTTTTTCCTCTCCCGGACCACGACGATTGTCCCTTCTTTAAGGGATCAAGGGCTGGCTTGCCCGCGGGAGTGGCGGGGCTGGTTAGACCAGTGTGAGGATCCCCCGTTGCCGGCACTCTCCCCCCATCTCGAGTGCAGACAGCCACTGCCCCGCCCGCCGAACGTGGGAAATGTACGCGGCGGGAATACCACCAGCCCAACCCGCAGAATTAAGTAGCCAACTCAAGTCACATCCACAAATATCATCCCTCCCAAATGAACACGAACTTTTTGATCAATACAAGAGAAAAAAAAAAAAAGGATCCTAGAGAAGAAACAGGCAGCTCTCGGGCCAAGCGGATTTTTCCACTGAATTCGGAAAGGGTGCATCACTCTTTCCTCCCCACCTGACGAAAAACAATTTAGACCACATCTTTCTCCCAAATCCCTGCGCCTCCTTTGGGGGAGGGTCATTATTGCCTTTTTAAAGAGCCCACTTGTTTTGCAGAGGAATAATTAAGCGGAAAGATATGCAAAATGATTATTAAAAAAAAAAAAAAACATAGAATCAAGGTGTCTTCGGTACAGTCAGGGGAAAAGACTGGCCTCCTCAAGGCTCAGAAACTGGCTTCGTGGACCCAACAGCTTAAGCATCATAAAAATTAAAGGAAGTGATAGTAGCAGCGCTCGCGGCACTCTGCAGCCTTCCCTACCGCCCCTCCCCCTCCTTCACTCCCTGTGAACCAACTTCTCTGTCTACACTTCAGAAGTCTCCGGGAGGTGTGGAGAGATCCTCCATCAGGGCTTGGGACATTGTAAGCTGTGAAGTTTATGTTTGTGGCGCCTGGGCTCAAACAGCCATTCAGTGGCTTGCTGGGTTATCAAGAAAACAACAATCAGAAAAGATCAGTAAACAGAATAGGCTGCCAGAGCCTTGAATTAACTATTTGTATTTTAGTTTAAAAACACCGACTCACACTGTACAAGTTATTTCAAATCCGCAATGAGAATTCAAGATTTGGAGCCATTTTCTAAAGCAACACCTTTTTAAATAAAGACACAGAAACAATCCCTTTTCTCTTTCTTCCAGCACCCCCCAAAAAAATTCCACTTGCCTTGTTGTGATATAATCTTTAACTGTTGACTAGCAGAGAGAAAGTAGTTTTTAATAAAATTAATGCCTAATTTGATTATAAATCTTCTATACCAAAGTTGACTAAACTGAACTTCACAAATCAAAAAAATAAGTGTTTTCTGGTTAGTTTGCTTTTATTAGGGATGAGATTAAAAATTCAAAGTGGCTAGATGTCATTCAAACATCTCTTTGTGGGGTTTGGAATGAGATTGTAAACTTTTTTACTTCTTTACTGAGAATAAAAGGAAATCATAAATAAAACTACATGAGATTTAAAATAGCTACATTTCAAGGAGATAGATCTTTTTTGTGGCTTAAAAATTCAAGGTGCTAAGGAAATACAAAGTATGACTCAGATAACTTGCAAGCACATTGTGTTTTGGCTGGCAGTTAAAAGAATAAAGCAGACCAGAAAAGAGGTCAGCAAGATGAGTATAACAATTTGATCAGGGTAAACAGCAGGAGAGCATCAGGAAGTCATGTATTTAATCTTGAACTCAAAAAAAAAAAAAACAAGTTACCAATGGTCAACTAGGTAGACACATCCATGCAGAATCACAACTAAGCAGAATGTTATTTCAAGGGCAGAAAAATGTTCTCAAATATGACTTTTACTTTAAAAAGAACTTTTTTCTTTTTTTAAAATAATTATCTGTTGCAAATGGATCTTTTATTTATTTATTTATTTATTTATTTATTTATTTATTTATTTATTTATATGCAGTGCTGAAGGGCCTCACACATACCAGGCAAGTGCTTTACCACTGATCCACAACTCCAGCCCAAAAAGGAACTTTTTAATGGTAAGAAAAACCAGTTTCCTCCAATGAAAGGGAAAAAGTGAGACAATAGAATGAATTAGAAGATGTTATTGCTCTGAAACTAAAGGGAAATATCTTGTTTTTAGGATTATAGATACTGATATAAAACCCTAATTCCAAGGGAGCATCCAAGATGATTTTAACTGCATTAAATTTTAGCTTGCAGAAGCTGGAGGAAATGAGTCATAATGTCGAGAATGAAGGATTCAGAGTAATAAAGGAGAAAAGATGATAGATAATAATAAACAGAAGGAATTTCATTAGAAGAGCAAATCTTGAAACTCAGTCTCCAGAGGTGTGCAGAGAAGAGGAGAATATGTGCAAGAGATGATTTGCAAACAAGAAGACATTTCAGCTACACAATTTAGAGTGCATGCTGAGGAGTCTAGAAGAGGAAGACACACCTTTCATATGAATAATACAAGAACTAGAATGCTATCGACACATCAAGCCATTCTCAGTCATCAGGCAACAAATATCTTGAATCTAGCAAGTGAAACCAAATCATTCATCACCCCTCCTAAATTACTTTGCTTAAATTCAAGCTGTGTACTTCAGAATAGACTGACATCTATATATATAAAACATCACACACTGCACGGGCATACCTTTAATCTTAGAAATCAATGCCAGGAGCAAAAAAAGACCACAAAGATGTGTACCTCAAATCCTTCCATTGCATTCAGAATCTGAATAAAGTTGTCCCCCCCCCCCCCCCCCCCCAATTTCTAGATCCTGAGAGCCCATCAGAAGCTATGGCTAGGGAAGGAGGTTCAATGGTTTCCACACGGGGCTTGGATGATCTTTGTGAGCATACCACGATATTTATGTCGTACCTGCCATCCTTGCACAGGCTTATTAGCCATGCCGGCTTCGCGGTGAGAAAAAAAAGAAAACCGAAAAGGCAGACCAATAGATACATCAAACAGGAAGCTAAAAGAGTCAAGTCCGGTGACAAGAGATTAGAGAAGGGAGACAGGAGAGAAAAGAAAGAATGGGGCGGGTGGCTTTCCCCGGAGAAGATTCCTGTGAGATAAGACATAACTCTTGTTTTTCTCAACAGAGGACTACAAGCCATTATTACCGCCGGCCAAATTATTACCCCCCTGTCAAGAATTAGACACAACAATCAAAGTAATCAACGGGCATGTCTAATGCACTGTAACATTTTCAATGCAAAGTTTGTTTTCTCTCTGCCCCCACGTTAGAGCCTGTAATTAACCCGTTATGTAGAATGATGCCAAACAAAAGCCTAATTGAGGCTCCCTTCCTGATTTGCGGCTGATTTGGAGAGGGAGAAAGCGACTTGAGAGCTGGGGGGCCGGGGCGCTCGCTGGGTCTCCAGCTTGGCCTCCGCCCTGATCCTTGTCAGGAGCCCAACGCGCCACAAGACACGGTTAGGGTATGTTAGTTTTCGTATTTATTAAGAGTTGTCAGATACTGAAAATGGCTTTGCATTCACGCATACAAATGAATTTAGTTTTTGCAAAGAGTCAAAGTATCATTCTCACCCTGGGGTGTAGTACGGGGGGGGGGGGGGGGGCATAAGGAGGGGGAACAGAGTGGAGCCCACGTCCTAACTCTTAAGTCCTCAAATGGAGAAGCATGGATAATTCCAATTTGGGCAGGAACTATTGCTAAATGAGGTCCAGTGGGAGTAGTGGGGGTTCTGTCCCAAAGAGCACAACCACCTAACCATGGCCCATGGGGGCCCACAAAGCCCACGACCCCGTCCCCCCTCTCCATAAAAGACGGTTCTCCAACAGAACGTCTGCAGCATTTCTTCCCTGGCCACCCTCTCTCTCCATCAGCTACCCTTTCCAGGGTTTTCGAAATTAAAGTTAGGAAGGAAGGGGTGATGGGGGGTGGGTAAGGCAGTGAGGTAAGAAAATGCATACACCGACTGGGCTGAGAAAACTCTTTCCTTTCTCTGCCTGTTCCTTCTGCGCAAATAAAGCGGCATTTCTCGATTCTGCTGACAGTCACCACTAGTAAATAATGGTCATTCCTCACTGGCTAGGCAGAAAGTCTCTCTCTTAGCAAGAGATTATATTTGGAAATATGGATCATTTCAACAATCCTAAGCAGGAGCCTTTGGTGTAAATCACTTACTTTAAGAAAACAAGATAGTGACTCCAAATCAAAAACTATTTTAAGCAGGACCCTCTTGCAGGGTGGGTGGATGGATGGGATAGGGAAGGGGGAAAAAACTGGAGGAAAAAAGGTAGGGGGAGAACAGAGGACAGCATATCATTTTCACAAAACTAGTAACATTATCACCACTGAGAGCTGAGGGCTTCTTCCAATCAACTTTGATCCAACTACTGAAATCCAAACTTGCAAACTCAACCTTAACAGCTTGCAATACAATATCACACCTACTGTATATCAGTTTACCCCAATCCAACATGCAATCCTTAATTTCAGACATTTAAAAAGCTTGCTAATAAACATATAAAAGAGGGACCCTGAATCATTGCATTTATTTATTTATCTATGCCAAACGTTTATTAGTGAAATAGTCCTGAAGATATAATTCTACATATGGCGCTTTGATTTCACATAATATTTAAGAAAAAAGACAAAACACATAGAATTAGACATATAATTCAAAGACCACGATACAACCTTTATCTTTTTTTTTACTTCAGCAAACAAAAAATAATGTCAAATGACATGAAAAGTGGCAAGTCTTCTGACAATAAATAATAAATTACTTTATAATTTTTGCAATGCAAGAGCAAACAAAAAAAAAGTTTCCTTTTTCCTCTTTATTTCCAGAGAGAGAAAAAAAAAACAGTCATTTTAACCAATAACTATACACATCTTTGGGGGTAAAGTTCTTGGACAGACACAAGTCAAACACAATCCCGAGACGCTTGTGGCAAAATAGAGGTAACCTTGTTGCAATGCTTTATAAGTTGGTTTTTAAAACTGAATTTAAAAACCTTTAAAGTCGCTTCAGACTTCTTGATAGAGGATGGATCTCAAAAAAAAAAAAAAAAAAAAAGGAGAGAGGGACAAAAGTAAAAAGGAAACCAGCTATAGGACATGCTAAGAGACCCAGGATTTCAATTAACCCCTTGTTAGTCAACTAAAAACATCGCAAACCAATGCAGCTCCACCTTCCTGAAAGGACTCTTTCCAGCCAAGGAGGCCAGTCTCTCTTCCTGATCTTTGCTGGAGCTCTTGTTTGGCAAGGCAATGACCAATATAGAAACAGCACCATTCAGATTAGGACGGACTAGAAAATTTTCTATTTCTGCTTTTTTTTTTTTCTAGATGTGCAGTGAAATTAAAATGCTTTTTTTTTGAGATCCTTGAATAAAAATCCTCTACGTTTTTAAAAACGTCTTTTTTTTTTCTTCAGTACTCCTAAGGTCATTGAATAGCGTATGTTGGGTTTTAGGTTTTGTTTGTTTTAATTCTAGTAAAATCCCATGATTGTCTTCACAGTGTTGCTACCATATCACCTTGTCGTTAAAACAGACTTCGTGCATTTCATGGAGCATTCGTTTCTTGATTCAGTTTTCATTGACTGGGTCGTTAAATACTTTAGTTTCGGAGTTCAACATTATAATTTCCCACTTTCTCCAACAGGGAAAAAAAAATACATCTGAATGAATGTTCCTCATGCCTCAATAGGACTGGCTACCATGCTGTTAGGTGTATCTGGGAGTTGAGAGGACATCGATGCTACTTCACTGCCAGTGGAATTAGAGCCTGGTCCTCCTTCTGAAAAATTGACCTGCATGGAAGGTTGAGAAATAAATAAAGTAGGCTGTAATTGTATTCAAAAAGTAAACTCGTTGTACTGTGTATGTATGTACAAATGTTTTGTAAACAGATGGACACGTAGATACATACATAATATAATTTTAACATGCTTATAGAAAGCCTACGACAAAGAGAAGTCAAAAAGAAATCCTCTCACTTTCCCATCTTCTTAAAGATCTGTTTTAACTCAAACTGAATTCCCAATTCCCAACATTATGTTGCATTAAATTATTTAAGAACAAAAGTGTTTCCCACTGTAAAATGGTATCACAACTCTAACCATGCTTGCTCTAAATAAAATTATCCTGCTGGCAACATGTTGCCCTGGGAGCAGGCGAGTTCTCAGTCTCTAGGCATCAAAGCCTCTCTTTTTGAGTTAGAAAATCCATAACACACGCTCAGATCAAGTGACGGGAGATTCAGAGAAGGCTCCATGAACAATGATTAACTCCTTAGAGGACTCACAGTATGAGTTTTCTTCCTCTGTCCTGCTGCTTCTCTGCTTCTTGCTCTCTCTTGCATTTTCCCTCCCTCCTCCTTTGCTCCCTATTTCTTTCCCTCCCCCCCCTCTTTTCTTTCACAGAGGAGATCCATATATAACATAGGATCCATAATAACATCCTCATATTATAAATATCCGGCTTTTCCTTTTAAATGAAAAAGCACTGCATTGCTGTTGAAAATCTCCTTAGCTGACCACATCCTGATCCCTTCCTCAGCTTCCCCTCTACTGATCCTACCTGACGCTAAAGTTTCAGAAGGTACAAACATCTGGCTGTCCAGAATCTGACCCTTACCTTCTTTTGTGATTCAGGTTTTTATTCAAACAAATTATCAGATTAATAACTTTAACTTAAGCTCTTTTCTAGTTCAGGAGAGTCTACTTACCTTCCTTCCTACTCTGTTAAACTTTTCCATTGTGAGGTCAATGGATGAACTTCTCAAATTTGCCTACCCTTTGCTTGGAGTACTTAGAGACAGAGGCCTGGGGCCAACCACTTGCCTCTGGACCTTTACTCACAGTTTACACCAGGGAAGCAAATGCCCTCTGGGTAAACAGGAGGGTTGAAAAAACTGTCCTCTCCTAATGCTTTATCTTTACTGCTCTAGGAAGGATCATGCTTTTAGGATAGAGCTTCATGTTCTATAAGACAGGATTTTATAGGGTAAATGACACTTTAAGAAAAAAAATTATAAGCCAGATGCAGTAGCACATGTCTATAATTCCAATAACTTGGGAGGCTGAGGCAAGAGAATCACAAGTTGGAAACTAGCCTCAGTAACTTAGCAATACCCTCAGCCACCAGTGAGACTGTTTCAAAATAAAAACAAAAAGGACTGGGGATGTACTTGGTGGTAAAAAGAAAAGAAAAAAAGATTGTTAAGTATATATAAATACCATATTACAAAGGACACATAATTAATACTTATATTTATCTTGGCCTTTTGGAGGTTAAAAAGGGGAAAAAATTATCTTTTCTGAATGTGTAAACATATTAATGTAAAATGGGTTTCCCAGGATTAAATAAGCACTCTGATTGTTAGAGCTATATCCCTTTTCCTATAAATGCCACCACAATATATGACTATATGACATTTGAATTTATATACTTAAAAAATGTTTAAGTAGTCCTTCGTATATGCAATATAGCATTGTATATTACAATATTCCCAGAAAGGGATACAGTAATAAAAAGTGTTGATTAACTACTTGAACTAATTCAATTAATTAATAAATCTCTATACTGATAAATCTGAAAATTGTACCTAGACAGGTGCCTGCTGCTTATTGATAACAACATTGATTATGTATTATAACATTGTATATGTATTACAATCACTTTGAATTGGGCCCCCGAATATCCCATTCTCTAGATGTTGAAGAGAGAATAAACATGCTAATTGATGATTCAAATGCCAAGGTGATCTCTAAAGTTCCTGAAAATTCTAAAAGTCTAAGATGCTTAATTTTGCAGCCCTCATGCATCTCTTTTCACACAGTCATCTAGTTGGGTACCATGAAGTTAATCCCAAAAAGCATGTCTGATAAAAAAAAAAAAAATTCAACCTATGAAATCAAATTTCGCAGTCTCATAAAGAGAGAGAGAGAGAGAGAGAGAGAGAGAGAGAGAGAGAGAGAGAGAGAGTTGTTTTCCTCACATTTGCCCCACTCCCTTCTCTTTACCACCATGCCTCCTCAGTCTCTCCCCAACCTGGGGTCAGGGAGTACCCTCCCCCAGAATCTTTCAGTATATGACAGTTAAACCAGAATCCCTTTTCTGTTGGGAATTTGCCCTTCTCTTTCTGTGAGCTGACACTTACCAGTTGCTGAAAAGCAGGCTGATCTATGTCACTCTGCAAGGCGAAGTCGCTCAGTACTTTCCAAGGCGGCTGGTAACTTTGCACCTCAACTGGGTTAGCCTGTAAGCCACCGTCGTGCCTCTCTGGACTGGCAGCTACCATGGGAGTTCCTGTCATCCCCTGGATATTCTGTGAATAACCCCCCCATCCCAACATGTTAATGAGCAAACTCCCTCCTTCCATTGTCTGCACAGGCTAAGCAAATATACCTGAGTATTATCTTATCTCTATGGTGGCCCTTTATTGATTCAGTTAATCTACTGCACCTATGGATATGAGCTGGAGTTCAGTTTTGTTTTTCTACTTCTGTAGTCTATATTAGGTCTACCTAGACCTTTTTAAAACAAATTCTACTTTGTGATTTTCCCCCTTACCTTTGCAGCTGATCCCCAATTCCAACTATGGGCTTTCACGAGCCATAATTTCCCCCTTCTGCCTCAGGACATGGTGGTTTTCTGGGCAGTTTTAGTTAGTTGCAGACTTTCTCCAAGCGGTTTTCTCCTCCCAGAGCTAGCCCCCACTTCCATGTCTTTGGATCTGGCAGCTATTGTGCTATTATGTACTAACCAACTTACAAAGTACCCTGGCCCAGTCTCGGCTGGCCTGCCAAGTTTAATGACAGCAGGTTTTATGGCATTTAAAAATAGGGCAAGCAGTAAAATGAAAGGGGGAAAAAAAAGGAAAGAAAGAAACTCTTCAGCTTAACTTAACCAGGAAGCCTGCAGTGGATAACAGTGCCAGTGGCCTGACGCCTTTGTGGAGGCCTGGGCTCCACCAAGGGTGAAGGGTGGAGGAGGAGATCACCCAGGGGGACCTCCCCAGCCTAGAAGTGCATGGGCAAGCGTCATCAAGTAGTGGGGTAGGCCCTGGAGACTGGCAACATGACTAGTCCCCAAGCCCCAGGATCTAGACTAACACCCAAGGTGTTACTCATTGTGAGAAATTGACAGTCCCCAATGCTCATTGTCACCTACCCTTGGAGGGGGCAATTGAGTCCTTCAGGTTCACATGCTGGTAAGGTTCAGAGCCTGAGCCCACCCATAGGGATGTGAGCTCCTATCACTTTGATAAGTGCCTTTCTAACCTATCCAGTGCTCAGATCAGCACAGGGTGGGCATCAGGGTGGCCTCCCCCAACCACTTTGATCCATACTTTGTTGGGGCTGGGGATAGGAGGGCCACCCCATTGCACTTCAGCTGGTGCAGGCCAGACTGGACACACAAAGGCTCTGCATTTCCTCCTTCCCTTTTACACTTGAGTCCCCTGCCTGGGCCCCAGGGCCACTCACAGTTTTGTCATTGGGTTGCTGCTGCTGTAGCTGCTTCATCATGATGCTCCGCTTCTTATCCTTGCACCGCTTGTTTTGAAACCAGACTCGGATCACGCGGGGGCTGAGGCCTGTCATCTCCACTAGTTGCTCCTTCATGAGTGCATCAGGCCGGGGGTTGGCAGCATAGCAGGTCCGCAAGGTGTGCAGCTGCTTCTCATTCAGCACAGTCCGCACACGGGTGGTCTTCTCTGGCTGCTTGTGGACATGGGGCCGCAGGGCCGGCTGCCGGGCAGAGATAGGCTCCGCTGCGGGGCAAGGGGCACCATGAGCACAGTCCAGGCTACCAGCTCACCAGCCAGTTAGACCAGGCCTCTCAGGACTATAAGTAGAGTTTTGGGGACAGCAGAGGTGGTGGTGAGGAATGTGCAAAGCAGAATAAAATCTCTATCCTGCTCTGTAATCTACAAGGGTTAATGCTGAGTAATACAGGTCTGAACACAGCCCTTGCTCCTGTTCATATCAACACAGCCTTAGCCAAGGAAAGGACTGCTCAGGATGGTTCCCCCAGCTCACATCAGAGACAATATTTTAAGTGTTCTTTTTCTTCCTTCCTCCCTAATTCCCCATATCCAGAATGGGCTCAGATTACAAAAAGCACCCCCACCTCCATACTGGGAGTTTCCTCTTGGGTAAAGGCCGAAGAGGGTACTAGGGAAGGAAATGCAGAACATCCCAATGACAGCTAGAATGTCTGCAAAGGGAAGGTCCAGAATTCTGCTAGAAAGCCTTGAACTATAGTCCCAGAGGACAGTCCTTTCAATGGTCTAAAAAAAAAAAAAAAAAAAAAAAAAAATCCCATATTTCTCCCATCTCTCCAGTCCCTGGTCATTTTAGTACTGAATCAACATGGGTTGGGCAGGAAAGGAGGCCTGACCCTCAGCAAAGGAAAACTGAAACTCTATTTAGCTGCCTCCACTAGAGATAAACTACTGACTAGGAAATGATGTGCTTCCACATCCAACCCCCAATATTTTAGGCTCTTCTGTATTTCCCACCCTTGGCTTTGCCTTTATACAAGCTATTCACAAATCCCTAGAGAAAGAATTCTTAAGAGCCGCCAGTAAGGGGCCAGCTGCGGGTGGGAGGGAAGAGCTGTCTTTTCCTCACCTCTAGTATATGGGAACTGATACTTTAAAACTACATGGTGTGGGGGAGGGGCAAGGGTTGCAAATCTATTCAGAACTGAAACACTGCCTCACAAGAGTCTTGGTACTGTCCAATTTTGCTCTGTTTCCACTTTCCTTTATAGGGAACTGGCCTTCTGATCTATATGGTAGAAATCCTGCACCTTCTAAGATCCCCTGGGGTCAGTCCAACACCTATGGGGTCAATTTGGAGCTACAGCAACAGGCTTGAAGATGAAATTCTCACCAAATCATATAGAATGAATGGCTTAAAGAGTCAGGCTTCCTTTAAAATTCAATTACTGCAGATTAGCTTGTTGACAGTTTTAAATTACAGCTCTGCACAGTGGCCTGCAGTTATTAAGACCTTCACTTTTCTGGGCCAATTCTCCTACAAAATGATAAAATAAAATCTAAAAATGTTTTATAGTGGGGAGTAATTCTCAAGGAAAAAAAAATATATTTGGTAGGATAAATGACTTAGGGCCATCTAAGCTTCCTTCATTGGGCTAAAGGAAGCTCCTGGAACCTAGAACTCCACCCCTTTAATTAGGCAGCTCAGAGAATACCTGGCGGGGAGCTGAAGCCCTTTTCAGAAAGCTATGGTTTGGAAGCCAAGGTAAGCTGACAGTACTGTTTGGGCTTGTGTATACATGTGAGCACAAGCGGTATTGTGTTCGTGTGTACCCATATATAGACACACAGACTCGTAGGTGTGGTTGCGGCGTCAAGGCAGACAGTGTGTGCATTGAACCTTGCTGCACAAGAGCAGAACACATTTAACACTTCATTTAACTGCAGGTCTGATGTCGTGATCACCCTGTGGCTACCAGGGTTGCTATGTCCAGTGCCTCTGCCTCCCCAAGCTGGGTCTGACTCAGGGCGGAGGAGTACCTGCCATTTGCAGCGGCCGTGCTGGATGCAAGGGACTGAGAGGGTCGCCGGCACCCAAGCTGGCTCTCTCCACCACATCGTGGTCCGCGCGGCAGAAGAGCCCATCTTCCCGCAGCGCAAACTCGTCCCCGGGGATGAGCTGGCGGCTGCAGGCCACGCAGCGGAAACACTCGATGTGGTACACCTTGGAGCGGGCGCGCATCACGAAGTCGTTCTTACTGAAGCCGATGCTGCACTTGGCGCATTTGATTCCATACAACCTGCGTAGGGGTCCAGCCGGGGACAGAAGACAAGCACAAGGAGAGGGGGTCACTTCAGGCAGGTACTGCCCTGGCCCAAGATCTTCAGTGATCCCAGCTGTAAGCCCCTGAGATGCCCAGAAAAATCAGTTTACCGAACAGAAGCACGGAAACGGGAGGATAGAAATGAAACCTCTTTCTCTCCAATCCCTCCATCTCTTTCCTTCTCCTTCTTCCTCTCCTTTTTCCTTTCCCAAGAACCTTTGTATCTCAGTTGGTACCTCTTAGTTCAGAATACTACACCCCAAACAAGGGAAATTCATTCATGGATTCAAAACCTTTGTCGCTGTGCTTGCGACCAGTCCCAAGGTTCTCCTTGTAGATCTTAGCGGGAAGGAATTCAGAGGTGCTCTGGTGACCAATACTCCTCCACTTTTGTTTTCTTATTTCTCAATTTTAGTGGCTAGAAATATTTCTGATATTGCAACAAAAAAGGGGACCGGGGAATGGGATTGCCACTGCACTTCATATGTGCACGCATACAAATACACACAGAGAATAACAAAATGAAACCTCTGGGGGTTTCCAGGTCCCCTCTTTTAAGGCTAGTACATTCAAATCTTTATCCCACCAAAGATTTTTTCATAGGCAACAACAATGTTATTGAAAAGTTCCCTCTCCATTCTTTCTTCTATTATTATATTAAAAATCTGCATCTGCTCTCTCTTTTTCAAGTTGTGGAAGCATCTACATCTATTTCAGTTTCCTTGAAAGCCATGACCAGTCTAAAAAAAAAAGGAAAGACTCACTTCTAAGGTCTTCCTCATTGCTTTCTTTTCCTTACCAAGGGACAATCTTTATAGATTCTACCTAAGGTTGCACTGCCTGGCCCTCTTAGTGACTATCAGAATAACAGAAGCCCAGCCGTTCCTTCAGAGAGAGTGAAAGAAAGAGAAAAAGATGCACACAAAGCATGGAGAGATTTTGAAAATTTTGAAATCCAAATGGTCTGTCTGCTTTGTTTTTACAACTGCAGTATTTCCAAGGGCAAGTGCACACACACAAACACAGAGTTACAGAGTGGAGGAAAGTAAAAGAGCAATTGGGTTCTTCTACAATTGTATGTATCCAGAATTAGGAACTTGCAGGTCTGTGCAATTGAGCAAAACAGTATCTCCATAGAAGTAAAGATGTTCTTGGAGGTGTCAAGTAACTCTCCAGAATCTTGAGTTTACATGCCAATCGAAGAAGAAAGAAAGACAAAAAGGGGGGAAAGAAAAAAGAAAACAGCTCATTTGTCAAAGGTTAGAGGTAGATTCAAAAGTTTTCCTCCCTCCGCCTACCCAATGTGAGCTCTTCCATTTTATAGGATGAGGACTTTGCCTATGACCAAACAATTTAGAAAATCCCTCCCCCTTCCTGTACCCCACTTCCCCTACTTCCTCCCACTATCCCCCTAAGTATTAAAAAAACCTCCCTTCGTGTACAGTTCAATTTTATCTATCAAAATTATACTCTCTGCTTCACAATTTTAAAAAGGAGAAAAAAAATATTGGATACTATGTGAGCAGAAGAAAATTGTGGTTGTGTATTAAATCTTAATTAAACTTCAACAAAAGTTCTCAAGCTCCAAAACCCTCCAACTTACAAAAACTAATTATGTGTTAATAGCAACTGGAGAATTTTTAAAAATACCACTTAACATAATAGCAATGATAATCTCTTCTGTTTGTTATTAAAACTAATACAATTTTCTTAGAAATTGTACTGGTTTCCTAAGGGAGAAAACAAAGTTTCTGACATCTACACAGCTCCGAGAAAACTTGAGACTAGCAAACCCCCATGTAGAGTAAACTGAAAGAACAACAACAACAAAATCAAACTCAGAAAGTTCCTATGTAGTTGCAGTTGTGTCAGTATGGGCAAATCACTAATTTTATCACTTACTAGATTTTAATGTGAGAAAGGAAGCTGTTCAATTATCTAAATATACCAATTGTTCCTAGACAGATGATGGGCAATTTGATCTGCTCTGTCTAATTCATCAGCTCAGATAAGATAAGAAAGAAAAGACAGTCAAATGTCACCAAAGGGTTAATATTTAAAAAGATTAAATTTCCGGTGTTTTTGCAAGGAATATTTCAGTTGGTTTTGAAATTTCCCAGGAAGGAATTCTTACCCTAAAAGTAAAAGGGGCAATATGTCTATTTGCTCTTTTAAAATTCATCTCCAAACATGCTTCAAACTTTTATCTATTTCACTGACACCTCCAATGAATTTTTAAGTTACTAATAAAACAGGAGTAAAATAAACAAATAACACTGTTTTATACAGTGAAAATCAACCATATTTTAAAGTTTAGAAACTCAAACTTATCAATCTTTAAAGTTTTTATTTGTTTTGGAAGGGGAAGACAAAAGGAGGAAATAATTTGAGCATCACAAATTCCAAGAGTAATTTACTTAATACCACACAATTTATGACACCACTGTGAAGGGCTTTTTCCCCCCTAAAAAGTGAAATGAAGAGCGTATCTTAAAATTTTAAAATACACTTGGACAACTTTTGCATGCTACACTCCATTAAGGCAAACTTCCCCAAAAGACAAAGCCATACCAAATAACACAAATAAGAAATGGGGAGAGACAGAGAAATCTCACACAATTAAGAAAAAAGGATACTGGCATACCTGATATAATCTCTTTTACAGTAGGTTTTCCCATCCCTAACAAAGCACGTACAGCTCTCGTCCAAATACTGATTACACTCTGCACATTTCAAACATGCCGCATGCCATTCCAAATCCGGAGAAACCCTCAGAATATACTGATCGTGAATTTGATTGCCGCAACCAACACATAGGGAAATCAGACGTTTTTCTGAAATGAAAATAAATACATGATTGACTAACCGTTTACTTCCTACAGAGATAAACACACTTTTAGTGTCGTTCTCTTATAGGGCGTACTCTGGGAGGTTTTTTCTCCCCCCCACCCCTTTTTAAGAGTATTGCACTTTGGGATGGTAATTGAAGTGTGCCATCAAAATCTTGACTCGTTTTTAAAAAGGAGGTGGAATATATGTAAAATGCAGATTTGAATAGTCTACATTTGTAAGCCTCGCACGCAATCAAACCCGCTCATTTTGTATTTTCCCCCTCCTACCTCTTTGCTATAATCATTGGGAAAGATTATGGATAAGTCAAGTCAAAGAAAAGGTTTTGACTAGAAGCGTTAAGTGAACGCAGGGATGTCTATATTTTCCATGAAGCACGCTCTTAAACAGCACATAGGACTGGATATTGTTAGCAATAGCAGACATCAATACAGTTGTCACTCGTTCTCTTTTGCAAGTCTAATGCTAATTCGTATCTCCGAATATTGTATGTGCGGCAGACCTTTGCAACATAATAACCTTCTCCTAGAGCTCAGAATTCCAAAGGAGGAAATCATCGCTTAGCACCAGAAGACTAGGCTTTGGGAGGGCACACAGAATTCAAACACAAGGTACAATCAGTTTCCCGAAGATCAGAACCAACAGCAAGCATGCAGGCGGCAACGAGAAAAAAGCCACCTTTTCTTTCTCTCCAGGCAATGACTTCAACTCCGAAGAGCCCTTTGCACCCGTGCCTAAGAGATACCCCCGCATAAGAACAGCAAACCGAGCCCCACAAGGTAAAATAGCCTCTTACTTTTTGGTGGATCTCCCATGTCTCCCATATCTGTGAGAGGGAGTAATGTCCACAGTGAAATGGTGGTTGTACAGTTGGTGAACAGCCCACAGAGAGGATGCTGGAGCTGTGGCTAAGTGGGAAATAGTGGCCCCTGGGGTTGCCAAAGCTGAAAGAGCCGCTGCCCGGCTGCGCCGCGCCCTCGCAGATCCGGGAGTCCACTTTAAGCCCGCGGAGTTGGCGAAGCAGAGGCGCTGCGGCGGCGGCGGACTCGGCGCGGCTCGGGCACCTCTCTTCCTTATCTCTTACTCAAACTTCTCTGCTCCAACTCAGCTCCATCGCCATTGGTCTGACGCAGCGCGCGGGGACGTCAGGCGAGCGCCGCGCCCATTGGCTGCGGGGCGCGCGGCACAGCTGTTCTGATTATCATATTTCAGCCTTGCCACTGCCGAGTGCCACTGACCGCTCGGCGAGCCCGCGGGAGAGGATTAGGGCTCCCGAGGCAACTTGCTCCGGGCTCAGGCTGTTCTCCCCCGATGCTCAGGCTCCCTGGCTGCTTGGCTGCTCTGGCTTTTGGCCTTCCTTTCCTCCTCCTCCTGCCCCTCCCTGCTCCTTCCAGGCTGCTCCGCCTGCGCGCTCGCCTCCTGCCGCGCTGCTCCTCCGCCCTGCGCTCCTGGGGTCCCCACAGTCAGCTGGCTGCGTTGAGCGCGGGGCTCACTTTTCTGCCGCCGGTGGCGAGTGGCTGGTGGGTAGGTCTTCGTGTTGACGAAGTCCCTCCTGGGCTCTAGGTAAAGGGGGAACTTGAAACAGTCTGTTTAGCTTGGTTGGTCCCACGCTGCAGCAGGGCCTGGCGCGTCTTTGCTGCCTGAACTCCAGAACTGGCTGCCCAGGGCTTGCTAGGGAAAGAAGAAGCGGGAATGGGTGCTTAGACCCAGAGGAATTGTTCGCTGACTTCTACCCCATTATCTCATCACCCCGACCTCAGAACTCCATAAACGTGGGGTGGGAGGAAAGGGGCTCTTCTGGCCATAGCGGACAATCAGGTTGGAAACGCACAGGTAAAACGAAGTTGACTCCGCGGACTGCCTCTCTCCTTTTGACCCGCGAAGTCTGCTTTTCAGTTTAACTCTAGAATTAAAGTGTGTACTAACCCGAAGCCAACGAGTGAAATGATCTTCTGGTAGGCTGAAGTTTGTAAAGCGGTTATATACTGTCCAGTTTCTCTCTGGTGATCTCTTGCCCTCTGTTTTTAAGCAGACTCGCGCAATTAGCTAGTCCTGCTTTGATAATTATAAAGACAATTCTCCGTATATTTCTAGAGACTTAAAAAACTGTATTAGTCTAAGAGCTCCAGTAGGAAGGAGTCTCTTACAGAAAAACAGTGAAATGCCCATTTCACTGCACTAAGAGTGGATATAATATTTTTCTCTCGGGAAACTACCTGGAGAGAGAGAAGACTGTTGGCTGCATCTCGCCGGTAACTTTTCTCAATAATTTTTTACATGCCCCCATCATCTCTTACAGTTTCCCAAAGACAAAGTCACAGGAAGGCCACGAAGAACTCCCACATTTCTCCCAAAACTTATAAACAGCCATCCCTTATTTAGCGGTACTTTGAATTTTATCTTTAAAAGCCTGCATCATGAGCCTTCGAAGGCTTAATTTCGGTATATTGTGGCGGCGAGAAGATACTGTGGGTTAGGAAACTCCTTTCTTTGTATCTTTCACCAGATCTAACCCTTGATAAGACCTGTGAGCTCCCGGATGGCCTCAGTGGCTGGGTTTGAACGGATATGCCTCTACAAAAAGCAGCTAAAATGCGTGAGTTCCCTCCTGATATAGCTGGGACTTTACCAAGAACTGATGATAATATTATTGTCTTATTTATTTTGTTTTCTCTCAAAAAGATTTCAAATTTGATACCTTCTTTTCCATTCTTATTATGTTAAAAATGAGTGGAGTGCGTGTGTGGAATTGAAAGTCAGATTGACACAGGTTGATAAAATTTACCAGTTGTGTTCTGTTTTGTTTTAATCCATGTTTCTAGTCTCTGGTGTATGCATGGAGCCCTTTGTCAAGCTGGTTCTGTAAAGCTGATGGTAATAATCATCGCTACACTAAGCAAGCCTTCCCAGTATACGGGCATGTTTCCCTTACAGATAACCAAGTTGACCCTAGTAAAAAAGATACCACCATAACACCAGAAAGTAAATAGAGGACTTGAAACAATCATATTCCCTCCTGCCATGTTTATAACATGGAATTAAACACCAGAAACACCCTGGTGAGTTATATTTGAGACCCACAAAACACCTTTACTGCCCACCCTCCTTTCTACACACACACACACACACACACACACACACACACACACAGAGTTGAATTTTAACTCCCTAAACCCATAAGCAATCACAAAGAATTATTGCTGATGATAGCAATTCTAAGTAGAAAATCTGGCATGTGGCTCCGAGGAAAACCTGCAGCAATAAGCAGTTTCACTATAATGGTGAGGACAACAGGTTTTCTTTTGCTTAGCCCAAACCATTATTGTCAACCATTATTTTCTTAGTTCCTAAACTAACAGAAGCAAGGATCCATGCATAAGATACTCTCTTCGAGGGGACGCAATAATTATGTTGTTCCATGATGAATATGCTCTGGAGATCTATGTGTTTGATAGTACATTTTGCATTAAAATCAAAATTCAGTTGGCAGCATTATTTCACTTTACCTGAAAATTCTAATGTGATCAGATCCACATTTCCTTAGTTAATTGCTACATGTAGATTTAGCATACTAAATATATCTGTGAAAATTTTAATGTTTATTAAAATACATAAAACTGATTACATAAAAGTATGATTAGCAATATTTTTCCAGAGTACTTGATCACAGGAGCGACCTCTTGTGTTCAAAGGGGAGATGAGACACTCTCCTGTGGTAATTGGACTCACTTTGACCTTTGTATATTCTGTTAGGTCAAAAATATATCTTTCAAAACATCAGTGGTGTGAATTTCTGGTTTGATCTCCTCTACTGACAAGAGGAAAAGAAGAATAAGTATTTGTGGAGTTTAGTACCAATCACTCCAGGCTGACCCAATGTACCTTATAGTGTCTGGTCTGAATACAACAGAGATGCTGAGAATATGCTCCTCTTGAGTCTGTAGCATTTGCCCACGTGCACTTTTACACACCTTCCAAAATGCAGCTGTTACATCCAAGCTTCTAGTGAGCTGTTATGCCTGTTTTTGTGAGCTGTTGCTTTCTTCCTCTGCTCTAATTAAAATTAAACATTCTAGATCAGACTTAATGCCATATGTGGATTCCTGAACAAACATCATGAAGTCAAGTTACTTTCCAAAATATTTTAAAAGGTTTTAATTGCACTTGAAAAGTAAAGTTATACATTTAGAATTTACTTCTTTCTACCAACTTCTGGCAGATAAGTGAATTGTAAGTTGTTTTTTTCAGAAATTATGTACTGTGAGAAAGCTTTTTCCTTCCCACCTAAGAAAGACTGGCCCCTAAGAGGGGCTTCGATTAGTTTACTTGATCTATGAATATGGTTGGCAGTTTTTTTCCCCCTCTCAGGGAGATGTTGCTCTGTTTAGCCCATACCAGAACTAGATTTGAGAGAGTAGAACAATTAGGCTGCCAGTTTCAATGATTGAGGTATTCAGATGAAAAAATATATATAACTGAAGGATTTTTATATTCTGGTTTTCCACAAATAATTTATTTGGGGTTCAAAATGAAATGTGAACAAATTTATTGAGCTCCAAAAATAGGTATAAAATATAGACACACACACATATGTAACATTTCTCCTTTTCAGTTTTTTTCTGTGTCTCTAATCATGTAAAATAAGGCTATATAGACTGTTGGTATCTTTAATCACCTCCAAGGGTGAGATAAAATTATATGCACTTAAACAGAGTCGGGATTTAACCGTTTGTATTCCATGCGAACAGGATATGGGTGTTTAGAGCTAATTTGCCTCTCTTCCAGTTGTTGTTGGTGGCTTAATGAGAATGGATCAAGAGAATCAGTGCTCTAATTTCAGAGAAAGAGAAGGAATCTCCCTCCATGTACCACTGGGTATGAAATTATTCTTTTCTTTCCATCGTTTTTTTGTACTCTAAAAAAAAATAAAATAAAACTAAGCAGTGATAATAAAGGCAGCTGTTAACAAAAACAAACTTTTAGTCGTGATTCTTATATTTATCTCCTAGGACTCCTGCTGTGATTGTGGTATTGTTGAGTGTCAATTGCTTTATTAACCAGATAAAACAATCTGGGTGAATTAGCAAAATTTTCTTAGGTGCGCAGAGCTTCTTAGACATGAGTTAAGACAATTGTTTGGATCACCAGCGTTCCTGGTTTTTTTTTTTTTTTTTTGTCTGTTTGTTTTTGTTTTTGTTTTACTGGCAGATGACAGCCTGCAAGGTAGCGTTCCGTGCGGTTCGTTGCTCCGTTCTCAGCCTAGATAGAATTGCATGCTCTGGGCAGCGACGACGAAGCCACAAACCTTAGGTCAGTCCCGAACATGCAAGGGTCCACAGCTCCTTCCCAGAAGGCGTTCGGTCAAGCTAGGACAGCAGTTTGCTTCCACCCTTTCGAATTGTGCTTCTGGAAATATTTATTATGACTTCTCAAAATCCGCTGAACCCCTTTTCAAATGAAACTCTCCCTGCCCCTCTTCTCCTGAACTAAAACTTCAGGAGCAGACGGTTGTTAACTAAGATCTGAGCGGAGCCCAGGTTGGAACAGGAGTGCAATGTGCTGACTGAGAGGTCTGACCCAAGGATCATAGAACCCTATATTTGGCAAACCTTTCGTTAAATGAATCGGATTCTCGTGGAGGTATTTGGAGTCTAGAGAGGCAAAGATGCTTTATTTTTCTCCTATGTCCTGAGCGGTTCGGCTGAAATTTATCAGATCTGCGTTAAATCTAGCAAAACACTCACTGTTTCTCCCGAGCTCTCCTGAAATCCTGAGCAATTAAACTCAGTCTAGTTCATCAAATTAATCAAATCTAGTTGATTATTCTTTCCAAAAGAAGGGACCCTTTCCCCCAGTGCAGTCTTATCTAAGGGGCAGCTCTGAATTTAATACCAAGGGATTGTTTCTCTGGCCCGCGGGAGGTTTTTCCCTGATGATGAACGGGGGAGGGGAGACGAAGGTACCTTGGAGGAGGTCAAGAGGGGGAGGAGGAGGAGCAGCAGAAAATTACCAGCCACGCGAAGGAGGGAGCGGGAAGCCCGGAAATCTACCAGGATGCCTCAAGAACGTTCCCTAAGTCTTTCAGAATCAACGCATTTAAAAAAAAAAAAAAAAGCCTCATAAGGTGTTCCGGGCTGGAGTCCATGGGTGGGCTGAAGAGGTGATGTCAAGAATTACAGCTACTTTATGTGAATTAAACTGGCCGCTAAAATGTGTAAGGGAGGTTTAGTGCAGCCGAGAGGTGCTTGGATGAGGGCAGTTTTTATAGGGGCGGTGTGGGGGGGGGGGGAGGATGCCCATAGGTGGCCTCTACCAGCAGACTATCAGTGGAGAAAAATCTTCCAAATCCCAGTAAATACCTAGTCAGTAAGAG